TATACTTGCTTATAATTTCATATGATAATTGATAGTAGAGAGTTATTCTATTACTGAGATTATTATCTCACATCTATGGTTACATTTTTATAGGATTTAACAGTGAGCTAGGCAAGGAAAAAGAGTTTGGACCAGCATAGTGGTGTCATGGCCATGGGAATCTCTGTGTTTTGTGTAATGAACTAATGTAATGTGAATTTGTGTATATAAGATGTTATAGGATTGGCATGAATGTTTAAATTGTGAATTATGGAAAAATTGTATTGAATTCATGAATCTTAGCCTATTCATGGAAAGGTATGGTGAAATGATTAACTAAGACTAAGGTTTAGTTGTGTATATATTGTGGATATATGAAGGTGTGATTTTGTAGTGATATTGTAGTGAAAGTGGTCAAGCAAGCTAATTTATGTTAAGTGGTAAATAGTTATTGAAATGTGAAAATAGGCTATTGAACAGCCAAATTTTGATATATGTGTATGTATGTGATGAAATGTGATCAAGGTATAATAAGTTCTTTTGGACTTGATTTAAAGCCTAGAATGGTCTAATAAGACAAAATGTGTGATTTGTGCACTTGGGAGTGCTAAATTTTTACAAAAGTAACTTTTTATATTTGATAGTCTAAATTTTAATTGGACCATTATATCATCTTCAAACTTATCTTATTAGTTAGGTTATGAGATAATGTTTGTATAGGCACTTGAATCACTCCAATTGGACATCGTATGTGTAAATGACACATATTGAGAGGTCATCATTTGTGTTGTCAAATGATAGCTATAGAAACAGGCTTGCGCACTAATAGAACACATTTAATACACACTTTTATTTGTCAACTAGGACTATTTATTAAGGTTTTATTAGCCAAAGTGTACATACGTTGCATTAGATTTGAAAAATTGCCCAAGTATCTAAGTTTATTACATTAAGGGTATTTTGGTCAAAAAAACAAAATTTTGAGAAAATGTACAAAAAATTTAAAAAATTTCTGGTCAAATTAGATTTTTGAAATTTATTTTATTTTAACAGTAATTAAATAAAAAGTCAATATTTTCTTAAATATCCTAGTTTGATATAGTTTTTAGTTTGCCTTTATGTAAAATTTTTTATATAATTTTGTGTAACCTAAAAATAAACTCTCCCTTCTAATTTTAAATTTAATTCTAAACATTAATTAGATTTTATTATGTCACATATTATTTAATTAAATTATGTGATTTATGTAACATAGGTGGCATGTGACTTATACATCAATTGACAAGTAAAGTCAACACTCCTTGAGGTCAAAGGACTAATGCTTGGACATTTTTTTTACCTTATTTAGTGGATTAAATTAGCTTGAAAATGTGGATGACACATGAAAAATTACACGCACATTAAAATCATCTACAAGCTAATAGTAGGATGCTACCTTGCAAGTGTGACAAGGCTTCTATTTTATTTTTATTTTCTTTTTCTATTTTTTTGATTAGGCTTCAACTGATGGGGAACACCTTAGAGCATGCCATTCTCACTAACATTCAGATCATCCATCTATTTCATTTCATCTCCTTCACTTTCTCTCACTTGTTCATAGTGTTCTTCATTTTCTCTCTTGTGTTCTTTATTTTCCAACACCATATCTCCCATTTTTAGCCACCAAACCTCCATAAAACTCACACCATGATTCTCCTCTCTTCAATCTCATCCCAACTCTCTTACTTTCACAAGAATTGAAGCTTATTTCCATCATTTAAGAGCTTTGGAGTTCGGCCTTCACAAACAATTACTAGGGTTCTTGAATATGATGAAGATTGGTTAATTTCTTTAGTGGAATCCTAGAGATATGAAGATGGAGGATGAGTTTTAAGCTTCAAATTAGCTAAATTCTTTTGTTTCCTATCCCTTTTTCTTTTTTACTAGATGGTTAGATTACTCAATATAGGGTATAATCATCTTAACTTGTAAATTCTAATTTAAATTTGATATTGATGTAAAGAGAGAGGATTTTTTCATTTATTTTCTTCCTTAGACAGCTATGGTGATTTCAGCCACTAAGTGTTTAGTACATGATATTGTATTTTTTATTTAGTGAATTACTTGAGCTAATATTACATAATCTTGTGATGTTAATGCTTAAGTTGTTGAGTAGCTTGACATAATTTTGTAGTTACTTAATTTCACTATTTGACCGTGGCTGTTGAGGGAGGATTTTGAGTGAATCACTTGGCTAATTTCTTCACCAATTGGTTAATTGAACTAGGAACTTTAATCTAAAATCTAGGGAAGTTAGCTAATTGGGTTAATTGGCTTAGGATAATTTTCTTAAGTCATGACAGCTTTAGTCAAGAGGAAAGAAAAGCTTAACTTAGACTAATCAAGAGAAGAAAATGAATTCAAAATCAACTAATCTTTAAGGTTCCACTCTTGTGAAAAGGGAAATTCATTTCACTCACTTTAATTAGCATTTCAATTACTTGCATATTGGGTAATTAATTTAGGCAATTAGCTAACTAAATTACAACTCTTTAGGTGACTTATTGTATTAGGTAACTTTTTATTAGACTTGAAATCATTCCTTGGGAGATAACCTAGGGTTGGCTTTATATTACATTAGGATTAGCTTTAGTTTAATTTTAAGGTAAGTGACTAATTTCCTATTATAAGCATAATGCATTGCACATTACATCATGGTGCATAGCACAAGGAAGGTTAGAGCTCGTGGCTCTATATCACATACCGTAGCACATGTTGTGTACTCCACAGTGCATGGACCATAACCTGACCCTATTTCCTTACTTTAAGGCATGCAATGAATTATATGAATGCTTGTGATTTGTTTCTGTTGTGTATTACTCTAATGTAATAAGATCATGATGATTTTGTAAAACAAGTTTTGGGCCCAAGCTTTTTAAATAAAGTATTTGATTATTGATTTAGTTATGTTGTGATGGTGATTAAGTTAATCCTTTCCTATATCTAATGGATTATAAGGGAGGGTTATACTCAAAGCCCTTACTTCTCACAATTAGAATTGCCCATTAAGTATTTTAACTCTCTATAACTCTCATTTGCATCATTAATTATTTCTATCATCATTAAAGTCTCAACAACCCTCACAAGTCCAAATTAAATGCCCATTTTCAGACATTAATGAGATGTACCAACCAAAAATTCAAAACCCATTATTTATAAGTTTAAATGCTCAAAATAACTCCTATTAACTCTATTTGAGTCAATGGATTTAGACTCATAAACTATATAGACCAAAAATGGTCTCTCATTATCAAACTCTAACCAAAAATTTCAAAAAAATAGGCTGGGAAGGAAGAATAGGTTTACTCTTAGGGTTTGGTAGCTACAAAATGCCTCAGCCTTTTTAAAATTGAAGCATTGGTAGAGCTCTAAGTCTCTTTCTCCTTCTCTCATTTTTCTCTTTTCTTTTCCTTGGTTTTTTTTACATAAGTTTCACGTCTAAATTTTGTTGAAAGTGCACTGTGTACCACAACATGTGGTACTGAAAAGGCTATCTCTCATCTTCTAGCCTTATGTGCCACGGCATGTGGCACAAAGGCCTTGTTCCTTTATTTTCCACCTCTTTTGATGCCCATGTGACCCAATTTCACTTTAGAGCCTATTTTATGGTTGAAACCATACCAAAAACACTCATTAGCCCTATCTGACCACATACCACATAATTCTTACTTATTTATACTTAATTACTTGATTGTTATGAGTTTAATTTTTAGAATGTTATAGGTAAACTTACTATCTACCTCTCTTCCTCTCATATGCCTAATTTTTATTAGTTTAGGGAGTGTTGGGAGTTATTTTCATTTCTCCTTAGATTTTGACTAAGCCCATTAGCTTAGTTATGGGGTTGGGGAGTTAAATCAAGCTTCTAATCCTTTGTTTATGGATTTTATAGTGATTTAAAATTTTTAGTTAGGGTTTGGACAAACCCTAAGTGAAATTTAAAAGATTGAGAGTACTGTAGGAAAAGAAGTAATATTATCTAAGTGTTTGGGTAATAAATGAAATTAATGGGATGTGTTGGAAGAGTTAATTGTGTTAAAGAAGGAGTAGGGGTATAATGGTTACCTAAAAATTAAGTGAAAAGGGGGTTCAATTGGAGTTATAATTGATGATTAGTATTTAATCTTATAGATTAAGTATTAATTGTGCATTGTTTAGTAAGTGGGCTCTTGAAGGGCGATTAATTTGTTACAATAACCCTTTTTGTGACAAAAGGGTTGAGGTAACTAGATAATCTAGTTCTTTTACTTTTGTATTTGATTGGTTATGGTTTTGCAAAATTTTATTTATGCATTCTATTATGAAAAGTTGAATCATGCACAATTTGTTGATGTTTTGAAAAAATTGTGAGAATTAGTTTTTAACTAAATTATTACTCTATACATAAAGCCTTTTTATGTGTTTTTATACAAATTATGAATTAAATGTGAATATGAAATGTTAGTAAATGTTATATGATCATCTATAATGAGAAATATGTGTATGACTGAAATGGCATGAGCATGATCTTTGTGAGAGGGTGGGAGTTTACCTTGTAATTATTGGGGTTATTGTATGAAATCCATATGGTATACTGACATTGTCAAGGCCTCGATATGTGGTTTATTTCTTATTTGAAAGCCCTAGTATTATTTGTGATAGATTGTATATACGACACCCCAGATATTCAAAAAAAAGGAGATTTATGGTCCATAATAGATGAAAGCAATTTGGTTAAGGCTGCCTCTCATGATTGGTGAGCTTAGGTGAGTACAGTCACATAGACTTAGTTTTGTTATGTTGTTAGCCTATAAATTTAGTAGAAGGAAATAAGGAGGATATAAGATGCATAATGTTGATAATGTATTATATGAGTTGTTATATTATAATAGTATGAGTAATAAGTATTCGATAAATTTTTTATTTGCCACTTTACACACTCATATGCTATTCTGATACTTGTGAATAGATTAGATTATTTGGTTATTGAGTCCTCGACTTACCCCCATTGTTACATTTTATAGATGAAAGCTCAGCTAGGGCCAAGGGAAAGGAGGACACTATTGAGGAATTAAGGAGCTATTGTGAATAGCTCTATACTTGGCATTTGGTGTAACTAAACATAATATATATATATATATATATATATTGCCAACTCTAGGATTCATGTTATTTTGAATGCATTAGCATGAAGAATTATGTCATTTTGAGTGTATTTCATCCTAGGAGGTTGTATTTGAATTGGAAAATATTGTTTGAGGTCAAATACTAGTGCAAGAATAGTTATTGTGTTAATTGTATGTGTATGGTTGGCCATAAGATTTGAGATATATGATTTATCACCCCTTGATTTATTGTGAAAGGTTTTAATGGCTAAATTATGCTTGGACTATACGTGATGATATATGACTATTCAATTAGGTGTGTTGTGGTTCAATTGAGTTGGTACAAGTAGTCCTAAGGTTATTGGCTCTTGGTTAGTGGGTTTCAACACACTTGTGTTTGTTTCAAAAGGAAAAAGGATAATTTTGTGTCTAGATGTAAATGGTAAAGTGTTTCATTATGAAACAATGCCAATAGCTATATGTGAACAGTTGAATCGCTCAAATCAGATGTCAGATGGTGAAATGGTCCATGACAAATTACATATTTTGTATACTTTTCTTTTACATTTGTGACCATATTTTATCAGTTTAGACCCTTATATGCATGATTTTAGCATTGGATTTGATCATCGGCTCATTTGCATTGGGTTTTGGCATTAGGGGCATTTTGATCATTTTGCACATTTTATTGGAATTAATTGTTTTTAATTTAAAATTTTAATTCCTTGACATATTATTTGAGCAATTTTTTATTCTAATTTTTAGAACTTTATTTTTAAGAAATTAATAGGCCAATTTGATAATTTGCTTATTTTTATTTTAAATTAGTTTTTTAACTTTTCAAAGGGAACAGAGAATGTAAAAAGGAAGGAAAAAAGGAAAGAAAAAGGGAATAAAACATGAATGCTGAGGAGCTTTAGTTTTGAACAACGCACATGCAATTAACTTCACGAGTTCGGCTATTCATTCTTGCCACCACACACACATGTTCATAAAGATTCATCGCACACCATTGCAATTTCCCTCTTGATTTCAGTTAGTCGCATACTAATTACACAATTTGACCGTGCATTCAACTTAATCCAAATTCATCCAGTAGCATAGATTTTAGTGAATTCTTATCCATGGCAGCTTCTTATGGACCTCTCATTCAGTCAATAGCTATAGAGAGTGAGATAAGAGGCTAAATCTTTAAGGATTCTCCAAGATGATGAAGTTCCACTTGAGCTTTAGATTCTCTTGATTTCAATTTGTGTAGCTCAAATTTGATTCTAGTTTTTGTTATGATTTTGAGTTCAATTCTTTGATTCTGGTTAGATTGATTGAATCAATTTGATGTAATTTATCTTGTTAAGGATCAAATTGCTTTCGTTTACATTTTTCATTGAATTTGCACACCTCTAGTTTGAGTTTATCTTTGAATGATTATTACTTGTTGAATTCAAATTTCTCTTGAGTCTTGCTTGATATTTCTAATTCATTAGCTCCAATTAGGTCTTAGTGAGAAATTGATTGTCTAAATTTAATTGTTCTAAGTGTTAGAGAAAGGTTTTAGCAAGGCAAACATTTTGTTTAATTTATTTTAATCAAAGTTTGGAAATTGTTCAGGGGTTATGTATTTTTGGTTTAAGCCTCATTTACCTAGTCATAGTGGTCATTAGGCTTTTAATTTTGTCAATTGAGTCACATAGGGTTCGAGCTCATAGAATTAAGGAGTCTATGATCGTAGAATGAATTCAAAACTTGGAGAATTCATCCATTTACATGTTTGAGTCAATTTTACTTTCATTCATTTTCACTTGAAATTTAAAAAAGCAAAAATATTTTTCGTCTTGAGTTTTGTAAAACCAATAGTGACTTTACATTGTAAAATAGTTTATGAATTGAACTTAGTTGTTTAAGCTTACTCTCTTGATATTTTAATGACTTAAGGTATACGCAACTATATTCTAGTTTTTTTGAGAAGCTTGATACGACTAGGGCTTTTTAAGTAGCCCCGTTGTAGGGAGCAATATAGCCAATCAATAATTTCATTCACCATTGTTTAAATTTCTTTTTTGTGATTTTTTGCTGATTTTTGTTGATTTTTTAGAGCTAAAATCAAGCTGAAGATTGTTGCTGTTACACAAAATTTGTCCTAACTTTAAAATTAAATTGTAAACAACTAAAAAGGAGTTTGTGCTTGGGACTAAATTTTCTAGAAAAAAAAGCTAAATCTTAGCTTTGATTCATATTGAGGGTGAAAATTTTGGACTTAGGAGCCGTTCTATACATTTGTTGAAAGACAACAAGGCTTTGAAAGTCTGTTACAAAAATCTAGAATTTTATGTCAACTTTAAGTGCGAACAACTTTCACTTTACTTGTTCAATTTGCTTGATTCTTATTTCATTGTATTCATTACTGTGTTATCTTTGATTCTTATGTTAGCTTATCCTCTGATTTTGCCAATAACTTGATGAAAAGACTGAAAAGTTTTGATAAGGTACTCTAGAAGTAGTCTTGAATTTCCATATTTATTCACTGGCTTGTGCAAATTTTTAGGAGCAACTGAGAGAATTTTGACCTGAAAGTTTTGTAGTATAATCATTGTTATGTTATATTTTTAAGGTAAAAATATCAGAGAATTTTGAGTTGGGATTCAGCTTTTATGAAGCTCACGAACTCACTAGCTCCTGACTAATATTTACTGTCAGATTTTAGAAAAGTAGACCAATTATGAATGAGCATTTCTCACTCCCTACTCATCCGAATTGCATGATTTTTTTTTCTAAATTTTATTTAGCATCTTAGATTCACTTTTCTAGTTTTGAGGTTTTGTTAATTCCTTCATTTTCATTTTCAAAAAAAATAAAAAACTTATTGCTGCTGTTTTGCTTTGTTTTGTTAGATTTTCATAGTTGTGTGATTTTTGTACTTTTGACTTTTTGAGTGTTTTGTTAGTTGTTTTGGCTTTTTTTAGAGCATTCCATGTCCTGTAACTATCTTTTGAAAATTGAAAAAGAATTTCTTGACTTCAAAACTCAATATTTAGATATCATTAATTCTTCCTCCATTTGTTTTATTGATAAATCTTTTGTTTTGAAAAGTATGGAAATAATGATGCAAATAGTAGTGAACATGTGCATAATCATGAGGAAGAAATTCATGTTAAAAGAAGCATTAGGGAAATGGTTGCATCTAAAAATTCATTTAAAGCATGTGGCTTAAATGTGAATTTATAAGAAAATGTTGACTATGAAATTAAGCCTTTTCTAATCAATACCTTACCAAAATTTCATAAACTTACAGTTGAAGATCCCAATAGACGTTTCCAAATTCTTGAGAGAGTTTGTGTCACAACGAAGTCATCTATAGCTAGTTTAGAGAATTTGATGTTGAAGATCTTCTACTTCATCTTGGAAGATAAGCCAATCACTTGTTTAAATACTTTAGCCACTAAGACAACTAATTCATAAGCTGAAATGAAGCATTATTTTTCGGAGAAGTACTTTCCAGCAACCAAATAATCTTAATTACAGAAGAAAATAATGAAAATTCAACAATTTTCTTAAGAATCTTTATATGAATATTGGATAAGGTACCTTAAGCTTCTAACAAGAAGCCCATACCTCTAAATTGGCAAGGAGTTTCTCATCGAGTATTTTCATGTTTTACTCTCAGTTCATGACAAAGAGACTATAGATTCAGCTGCTAATGGGTCTTTACTTGATTTTCTTCTCAATGAAACTTGGGAATTAGTGAAGAAGATGGCTAATAATAATTAATAGTATAACACAAGATGTGTGAATAGAGTCTATCAGGCTTCAATTCCTAGTGCTTATAAGGTTTCCCTTACTAAACTACAATTAACTCTAAAATCAAGGTAATCAAGGGACTAAACCCTTAAAAGATCATTGAGTTTGTAAGATTACATAAATAGAAGAAACTCTCAAATTAATCACAATGGGATCCCAAAACTCAACATTTAAAATCTTTATCAAATATTTAATAGGCTCACATCAGAGTTTTAAAATAATGCAAAAGCTTGAAAATCAATCCAAACCCAAAACATTGAGATTCAAAACTCAAATATGTATTTCGTGTAGAAAATGTGTCATGCACTGCAATTCACCTGCCTTTATGCCATGTACCATGGTGTGAGGTGCCATGCACTGCAATGTATTATACAAATTTAATAGCATTAGTTGTTGTCATTTAATAGCAGTGGACGTGAACTTTTAACACATCCCAAATCTTCATCTAACGTCTGATTGGTGTGGTTTTAGTGTCTACATGGAACTTTCTCCTAGCTCTAGTTAATGGCATAAGTTTCACACTCAGATTCATTTTTTTATAAAAAGTTAGATACTAAAACCTATTTTACCACTTTTTCACACAAAACACACAACATTAGTGTCCTAACTCAACTATAAGTACTAAAAGCCTACATTGACTCTCCAACCACACTCAATAGACTCTAGTTAACTTGTGCAACATACCATACACAACTAAAAATACATACAAACTAAATTCACCACTCAATCCTAAATTTCACAAAATATAAGTGGGAGAAAATTCATATACAAATCTATCATTTTCATTTCAATTCATTCAAAATACATATGTTCCTACTTGCACAAGTATTTTGGCCCTATCCATGGATTTACAACCAAAACTCACTAACCAGGGCACAAAATACATAAGTTGTACACTATGGTTATGCAAGTAATATAAAATATCATATAAAACCTAGTTAGCAATTGTATCAACAATTATATACATAAAACAATAAGGAGAGTCATACAAAAGGATTACTCTATAAATCCTATACCTTTATGTTTTTTTCGATTTAGATCCGATGAGCTAGGTCTTAAAAATATTGAAAATTAAGGGATGAGTATAACTACTCACTAATTAAGTTTCA